CGGTCCTGAGGACGAACGTCTCAGAGCGGCGCCTGCCCCAACGTCAGCCCCGATTTCGGCCTCAGTTCCGGCCTCAGCCCCACTCCCGGCGGCAGCCCCAGTCCCAGCCCCACCCCCCGCCTCGGTTCCCTCCTCCGCTCCAGCCCCCACCTCGGCCCCAGCCCCAGCTCCACTCCCCACCTCAGCCCCATCTCCAGCTCCAGCCCCCACCTCGGATCCACGGCCCATCCCAGCCCCAGCCCCAGCCGCAGTCCCCTTCCCAGTTGCTGCCCCAGCTAGTGGGTCAAGGCCTGTGTCTCAGGCGCCCAGTGTGGCTCTCTCCAAGGGCTGCGAGGAGGGACAGATCTCAACTAGTTGGGGAAACCTTATTGCCATGGTTCTTAGAAGCCACCCTTTCCCCAGGCAGGAGAGGCCTCCAGGGATTGTCCCAAGGGAAGTTCCTGAGCGCCCCACGGATCCTGGCACCTCCACACACTCTAAAGACAGACAGTCCGGTTTCCCCCTCTGAAGGCACCCTCCCCAGCCTCGAGGAAAGGCACGGCTCTTCAGTGGGGACAGTGGTGGGGATGGCCACAGGGCCAGGTGCAGGAGTCCTGGTTGAGGTTGGATGTCAGCTGCAGCCAAGAAGCTCTGAGACCACTGGGGCTTCCACCACAGACCCTCCTCCAGGCCCAAGAGGAGAGGGAGCCCAGGAGAAAAGTCTAGACTCGGCTGCAGTGCCCACCGTCCCCTCACAGACCCCTGTGCAGATGCAGTCAGGCTCTGCACCGTCCCCTACCGTGAGGCAGGACTCACAGCCTGTCCCCCGGCCCCGGGAACGCAGCCTGTGTGAAGCAGCCCAGAGCTCTGAGCAGATGGTCAGCCAGGAGGCCTCAGAGCATCAGCAGAGGCAGGCGCCAGGGGAGGGGGGTGGCCCTGCGGGCAGCAGGGAGTTGCTCACAGAGAAGCAGAGAGAGGCCCGAAAACTCATGGCTTTTCTGCAAAGGCCTGGGAGTTGGGGGGTGGTGGAGGGGTGCCGTAAGTCCAGCTTACAGGTCCCAGAGCTGACCTCGGCAGTGGTCCTGCGGCGGCGGCTAGACCTGGGCAGCTGCCTGGAGGTGCTGGCCTTTGCCCAGCGGCACGGGGAGCCTGGCCTGGCCCAGGAGACCTATACGCTGATGAGCAACAATCTGCTGCAGGTGCTGGGGGACCCGCACCTCTACCGGCAGCTGAGTGGGGCTGACCGGGAGCGTCTCCTGAGCCTGCGGACCGACCGGGGCCAGGCTGTGCTGGGGGTCCTTGTGCTGCCTGGCCTCTACCAGGTGGGCCGCTTGGGGCCCACAAGGGGCTCTCCTGGCGAGGAGCCTCCTTCGGCAGGGCCCATGCCCCCGCCTCCTCCCGCACACCTGCACGTGTTCAACCCCCAAGAGAATGTGTGGCGGCCCCTGACCCAGGTGCCCCAGGAGGCCCCGCTCCGGGGCTGTGGTCTCTGCACCATGCACAACTACCTTTTCCTGGCGGGGGGCGTCCGTGGCTCTGGTGCCCAGGCCATCTGCTCCAATGAGGTCTTCTGCTACAACCCTCTGACGGACATCTGGAGCCAGGTTCGGCCCATGCAGCAGGCCCGTGCTCAGCTCAAGCTGGTGGCCCTGGATGGGCTGCTCTACGCCATTGGGGGCGAGTGCCTGTACAGCATGGAGTGCTATGACCCGCGCACAGACACCTGGACCTCACGCGCGTCCCTCCCTGCAGGCACCTTCCCTGTGGCCCATGAGGCTGTGGCCTGCCGTGGGGACATCTATGTCACGGGGGGCCACCTCTTCTACCGCCTGCTCAAGTACAGCCCCAGGAAGGACGCCTGGAATGAGTGCCCCTACAGTGCCAGCCACCGGCGCTCCAGCGACATTGTAGCACTGGGGGGCTTCCTGTACCGCTTTGACCTGCTGCGGGGAGTGGGCGCTGCAGTGATGCGCTACAACACAGTGACAGGCTCCTGGAGCCGGGCGGCCTCGCTGCCCCTCCCTGCACCCACCCCGCTCCGCTGCACTGCGCTGGGCAACACTATTTACTGCCTCAATCCCCAGGTCACAGCCACCTTCACGGTCTCCGGGGGCACTGCCCAGTTCCAGGCCAAGGAGCTGCAGCCCTTTCCCCTGGGCAGCAAGGGGGTCCTCTCTCCATTCGTACTGACTCTGCCTCCTGAGGACCCACTGCAGACCTCACTCTGAGTGGCTGGCAGAGACCCTCTGTCTGGACGGGTCTGAGGGGACATGGAGCACAGGCTGGATCAGAACTGCTGCTCTTGATTCCAGGACATGTTCCCTTTCTGTTGTAATTCATCTCCTGCTCTCCTGTGCTAAAGGTCGTCAGTTATTTCCGGAGTGCAGTCCCTCCCCCCCTCCCCTTGGAACCCAGGCTCCTCCCCACCACACCCATGCCGTTTCCTGTTCCAATTTCTTATCGTTCACACGCCCCTCTGTCTGTGGAACTCCTTGTGACTATGACTGAGAGCCAGGGACTGATGTGCCCTGGCCTTGGCTCCCCAGGAGTCAGCTGAGTGCTTTTTATGCACTGTCAGTGGGGAAGAGGGATAAAAAGTTCCCAGGTAATGTCCTCATCAGTGATGTGTAATGACCTTAATCAACGATGTGTTTTACCCACTTTGAAACCCACTATAGGGAGATGAATAAATCTGATTGAATACTGTTGCCCAACCGAACCTCTGGCATGGGTGTCCCTGTCTGGGCCCTTTTTTGCTTTTTATTCCATGCTAAGCATGACTGCCATCCTGAAGCCTTTTGGGAGCCTGACTTGGTTCTTCAGGTGCCAACCTCATGACCTTCCTGGGTCTGTTTGGCACTGTGAATCCTCGAGGGCCTAGAACCCTTGTCTGTGACACTGGGTCAGATGGGTACTGCCCTGCTCTCTGTAGCCCCTGCCCATAACTCCAGTCCAGATCAGGCCAGGAACATAAGCACACAACCTTTTACAGCCTTGCAGGCTCTCACCCAGCCCCTCCAGAATCCCATCTCACCTTCCAGTAACCCCCCTCTAAATGAGACCTGGGTTTACTGTAGTTCTGCCCCTTTTTAGTTGTGTGCATTTGAATAAGACATTTACTTCCATTTCTCTTTGTCTGTAAAATGCAGATAATGGACATCTGTCACTCAGGAGAGTTGTGAGAGATGAGATCACAATGTGATCACCTTGCATGATGTGCAGGATATACAGCACAATCAACAACGCATTTTTTCCTCTTATCCACTTTGAAACTCACTATAGGGAGGTGAATAAATCTGATTGAATACTGTTGCCCAACCGAACTTCCGGCATGGGTGTCCCTGTCTGGGCCCTTTTTTCTTTTTTTTATTATTATTTTTGAGTTGGCGTCTCACTCTGTCGCCCAGGCTGGAGGGCAGTGGCATGCTCACAGTCACCGCAGCCTCGACCTGCTGGGTTCAGGCAATCCTTCCGCCTCAGCCTTCCAAGTAGCTGGAACTACAGGCATCCACCACCATGCCCGGCTAATTTTTCTTGGTTTATCGTAGTAAAGAGGTCTTGCCAAGTTCCCAAGCTGGTCTTGAACCCCTGGGCTCAGGCAATTCTCTCACCTTGGCCTCCCAAAGTGCTGGTATTATATGTGTGAGCCACCGTGCCCAGCCTGCTTTTTATTCTATGCTAAGCATGATTGGCACCAAACACATGTTTACTTCACTGAAAGCATCTACATCTTACACTTGTCATGTTTTGTTTACAAGGTTTGATGCGCAGCTCGTTAGATCATGGCACAGGATAGAAAGGCATCCTTGGGTGGTGCTTGAAAATAAGTTTACTGAGAAACAAGTATGGTGCATACAGCTGTGATTTGGGTGCCCGCTTTGTCCCCAGTGCCTTCTCCACACAGGCAGATGGTGGCATGGCAGCCGTGGGTAGGCAGGTGGGACCTACTGTTTGTGCTTGGTCTCACTGAGCAGCTCTTGCCAGTTCTTCTCCATCTCTTCCTTGCAGTTGAGGAAGGCATCTTCCAGCCGGCGCATGGCCTCGGCCAGCATGGGGTTGGTGCGCATCACCACCATGTCGTAGGCCATCCAGGTCGCCTGCACTGCAACAACCAGACAGGCCCAGTCAGGCCACAGGGTGGGGCTGCAGCTCTGGGGCATCTTGCAGAGAGCCAGTTGTCTCCAGTGTGCTCAGTATCCAGGGGCCAGACCTCACTGAGACACCCAAGGGGAGAAAGCTGGAAGGCCACTTGTTACAGGCTCATAAAAACTCCTTCCTACAAATATCAGTAATGACACTTCCTAATCTCATGTAAGTCTTAACTTCTGGATGCATGTCATTAAAGGGCTGGAAGAAAAATAAAGCAAACCACAGGTCCTTGCCTACATGCAGTTCAGTTAGTGGCTGCAGGTGACCCCCAAGGAGTCATCACACCTACCCAAGCTCACACACTCAAGTAGGGTTGACCACACACAGTCCTGCAAGGCTTGAAACTCATGTGACCTCATGCTCAGTGGCTTGGGATTCCTGCCCACCTCCACCTGGGCAGCTCTGTGCTTCTGTTAAGGCTCAGGCTAGGAGTGCCTCCTTGTGGAAAGGTGTCCTTGAGCATTTGCCACTGCAAATGGACTTTGCACACAGTATGGCTTGCAGTGAGGATTAAATGTGTGAGATATAAACTGCTCAGCACACATGTTATGGAGTGAACATCTGTGTTCTCCCCAAATCCATATGTTGAAATCCTAACCTTCAATATGATGGTATTAGAAGGAGACTGTTGGGTCCTGAGGGTGAAATTCCTATGAATGGGATTGGTTCTCCCATAAGAAGAGACATGAGAGCTTACCCTCACTCACCGTGAGGATATGCAAGACTCTATGTGAGGATGCAGCAAGAAGGTAGCGCCTGCAATGGAAGAGACTTCTCACCAGACACCAGATCTGCCAGTACTTTGAGCTTGGACCTTCCGGCCTCCAGAATTGTGAAAAACACACGTTTGTATTTTAAGCCACCCAGTCTATGGTAATTTGTTATAGCATCCCCAAGGTGGGATGTTGCTGTAACAAACATCTAAAAGTGTGGACGCAGCTTTAGTATTAGGCGATGAGTAGAGGCTGGAAGCGTTTTGAAGTATATGCAAGAAGAAGCTGATATTGTCACAAAGGGAGTTTTTGTTTTTGCTTTTTTCCTTTCTGAGCAACCAGTCGCCACTGCCTTAGGAGACTCTGGTGTGGCCAATGAAGGGGAGTGTGGTGAGGACTCAGACAGAAAAGAGGAGATTTGGAGAGAAATCCTCCATCTTCTTAGAGAATAAGTAAGTAATCATGATCAGAATATTGGTAGAAATATAGACAGTAAAAGCCATTCTGATGAGGTCTGAGACAGAAACGAGGAACATGTTATTGGAAACTGGAGGAAAAGTGATCTTTGTTATAAAGTGGCAAAGAACTTTGCTGGATTATGTTTGTGTTCTAGTGTTTTGTAGAAGGAAGAATTTATGAATGATTAAACTGGGTATTTAGCTGAAGGGATTTACTCAAAAAAAAAAAGCGTTCTAATCAAGGAAATTATTGACTGGGTATAGTGGCTCACACCTGTAATCCCAGCACATTGGGAGGCTAAAGTAGGACTGCTTGAACCAGGATCAGCCTGGCCAAAATAGTGAGACCTTGTCTCTACAAAAAATAAAACAAAAATTAGCTGGGTGTGGTGGTGCACACCTGTAGTTCCAGCAAGCACCACTGGAGGCTGAGGTGGAAGGATTAGTTCAGCCCAGGAGTTTAAGGCTGTTGTGAGCTGTGATCATGCCACTGCATTCTAGTCTGGAAGACAGAGTGAGACCCTGACTCAAAAAACAATTATTGGTCAGGCTCGGTGGCTCAGCCTGTAATCCTGAACTTTGGGAGGCCGAGGTGAGTAAACTGCCTAAGCCTGCGGATTTGAGATCCACCTGGGCAACTTGGCAAGACCCCATCTCCACAATTAAAAAAAAAAAAAAAAATTAGCCAGGCGTGGTAGCACACGCCTGTAGTTCTAGTTACTTGGAAGGCTAAGGTGGAAGGATCGCCGGAGCCCAGCAGGTCGAGGCTGTGGTGGCCAGGAGCAGCCACTGCACTCCAGTCTGGGTGACTGAGGTAGACTCCAACTCAAAACAATTATTGAGGTCATCAGGGCAAAGAATTAGGATAGGTAAGAAATGAAAATTCGCCGGGCTCGGTGGCTCAGCCTGTAATCCCGCGCCTTTGGGAGGTTGAGGTGAGTGGATTGCCAGAGCCCGTGGGTTCGAGATCCACCTGGGCAACTTGGTGAGACCTCATCTCTACAACAAATCAAAAATCAGCCGGGTGTGGTAGCGTGTGCCTGTAGTTCCAGCTACTTGGAAGGCTGAGGCGGAAGGATCACTGGAGCCCAGCAGGTTGAGGCTGCAGCGGCCGGGAGCGGCCACTGCACTCCAGTCTGGGGGACAGAGTGAGACTCCAACTCAAAAAAAAAAAAAAAAAGGAAAAGAAATGAAAATTCATGGAAAAAAGCAATTCATAGGAGTGAATTTCATATAGTCCTACATAACAGCTGGAATTCTGAGTTTCCTAGGCTAAAGCAGAGAAGGAAACATGCTCAGTTATGAGATTCAGTGATTATAAAATAAAAACAAATCCTTTATTTAAAACACTTTTTTAAAGCTGGGCTCGGTGGCTCAGCCTGTAATTCTGTGCCTTTGGGAGGCTGAGGTGAATGGATTGCCTGAGCCTGTGGGTTCGAGACCCGCCTGGGCAACTTGGTGAGACCTCGCGCATGCCTTATCTCTACAATAAATCAAAATGAGCCCGGCGTGGTAGCGCGCCTGTAGTTCTAGCTACTTGGAAGGCTGAGGCGGAAGGATCGCTGGAGCCCAGCAGGCTGAGGCTGCAGTGGCTGGAAGCGGCCGCTGCACTCCAGTCTGGGCGACAGAGGGAGTCTCCAACTCAAAACAAACAAAAAAAAACCATTCTTTTTTTTTAGTTGGAGTTTCACTCTGTCGCCCAGGCTGGAGTACAGTGGCACGCTCCTGGTCACTGCAGCCTCGACCTGCTGAGTTCAGGTCATCCTCTTGCCTCAGCCTTCCAAGTAGCTGGAACTACAGGCATGCGCTACCACGCCCAGCTAATTTTTTTTTATTATTATAGAGACGAGGTCTTACCATGTTGCCCAGGCTGGTTTGAACCCACGGATTCAGGCGATCCTCTTGCCTTGGCCTCCCAAAGTGCTGAGATTGTAGACTTGAGCTACTGTGCCTAGCCTAAAACACTTTTTTCTTTCTTTTTTTTTTTTTTTTTTTTAGTCGGAGTCTCACTCTGTCACCCAGACTGGAGTGCAGTGGCCCCTCCCAGTCACCGCAGCCTCGACCTCCTGGGCTCTGGCGATCCTTCTGCCTCAGCCTTCCAAATAACTGGAACTACAGGTGCGTGCTACCACACCGACTAATTTTTTGATTTATTGTAGAGATGAAGTCTCGCCACGTTGCCCAGGCGAGTCTCGAACCCATGGACTCAGGCAATTCACCCACCTCAGCCTCCCAAAGCGCGGGATTACAGGCTGAGCCACCGAGCCTGGCTAAACATTTTTTTCTAAGAGAAACTTTCTTAAGGCTCTTCTTTATGAGAGGTGTGAAATGTAGTTGAAAATGACTTTGACCAGATCCCTTCTTTTAATACAAAGTGGTCTTTCTATGCCTGTAGTTATGATCACTGGTAAAAGAAAACTGCTAGCATAATGTCAGAACACAGTTCAGAAAGCAATTCAATCAAACATCAAACCACTGTGACAAGTGCATAGCCCTTCTCTTATTTGATCCAAGGGAAAAATTTTAGAATACAAAGTAATAGGGAAGACTCACAATCATCAAAAGATCCTCCACAAATATATGTCTCTTAAGTTTTTCATTCATTCATTCATTCGCTATTTAGTGAACACCACTTTGTGCTGGCATTTTGCTAAGGCAGCTCTGGTGATACACCAATATGCAAGATAGACACATTCTGCCCTTGTGAAGCGTCCAACCCAGCTGCTGCAGGAGAAGACAGATAATAAACATACAAGACAATTCTAGATTGTGAAGGGTGCTGCAAAGGAAATAAGCAGTATATGTTGTGACAGAAAAATGGCATGAGAGGAGTCTTAGATATATGCAGTAAAAATGTGTGTGTATCTGTTTCTGAGTTCTCTGTTGCATTTTATTGCCCAACTTGTCTATACCTAAACTAACATAACACTTCATTATATAGCTTTATAATACATCTTGGCAATTGCATGGTACATCCTCTGTCCTTAGTTGTCTTCCTCAGAAGTACCTTAGCTCTTTCAAAAATGTTTTAAGATTAAACTATCAAGTTCCATGAAGAACCCTAACAAGATATTCATTAGAACTACTTTTAACCCTTGGGTAGAATTTGGGAAAAACTGACACATTTATTACATTAAACCTTTCTACTCGTGAATGTAGCTATGCTTCATTTATTTTTATCTTTAATATTATTTAGTCAAGTGTTTTTTTTTTTTTTTTTTGAGTTGGAGTCTCACTCTGTCGCCCAGACTGGAGTGCAGTGGCCGCTCCCGGCCACCGCAGCCTCGACCTGCTGGGCTCCGGCAATCCTTCCGCCTCAGCCTTCCAATTAGCTGTAACTACAGTTGCGCGCTACCACACTCGGCTAAGTTTTTATTTATTGTAGAGATGGGGTCTCACCAAGTTGCCCAGGCGGGTCTCGAATCCGCGAGCTCAGGCAATCCACTCACCTCAGCCTCCCAAGGAGCGGGATTACAGGCTGAGCCACCAAGCCCGGCATGTGATTTAATTCTTTGCTGCTAGTATATAAATATGCAATTAACTTTTGTATATTGATCATATATCTAGCCACCTTATAAAACTTATTATTTATAATCATTTGTGTTTTAGACATTTTACATAGATGTGGTAGCCACCCTCTCAGTTGGCCCCCAGTATTCCCTGACTTCTGGTAGTCATGTCCTGTGTAGTCCGCTTTCCTAAAGTACGAGAGTTGATCCATGTGACCAGTAGAATATAGCAGAAGTGATGATATGCCACTTCCAGTATTTCCCCTGAGGGAA